TGCTATGTAAATATAGAGAGGGAAATGATTATCCTGCCTGGACCTGGCTCCTGAACTCCAAACTAATGTATCCAAGTGCTTACTTCACATACCTGCTTGGACATCTAACTGGTATCTCAAATTTAATCTATCTCAAAATCAAGTTGCTAAACAACCTACCACATTTGATCCTCTTGTTTTATCCATTTTAGGGAATGGCTACACTATTTTTCCAATTGCTCAGGTCAAAATCTTGAGTCATCCTTCACTTCTTTCTCTCTCGCCTCACATCTGAGCCATGAGCAAATCTGGTCAACTCTATAGGACATCTTCAAAAAACATCCAAAATCTGACTAACTCCCAGGACTGTCTACTACCACTCTAGTATATCATCACTGCTCAGGGTGCTTCCTGAAAGGTTTCTCTGCTTCTGTCCTTCACCCAATTTGTTTTGTTAAAATGCAAAGTCAGTTCACAGGACTTCTGAAAATCCAAACATGTCTTCCTATCTCACGCTGAATAAAGGCTAAAGTTCTTACAAAGGCCTAAAAGACTTAACACAATCTGGCCCCCCACTACCTCTCTGACTTTATCGCCTACTGCTATCCTTCCTCACACACCTCAGATTTAGCAACAAATAATCTGGAAAAAAGCCAAGAGTAGGAGAAAGGTGGGCAACAGCTCACTTTTTAACACTATTTCAATAATGAATACCACCTATGCAGAATAAAGAGTTTTATTTGAAATTTTATTTGAATACTTAGCTCAGCAGTATTTACCATGGAATGTCAAAAATTAACAGAGATATTTAACCCTTTAAAAAATATATAGTAACGAATCTTCCCAGGAAACACTACAAAGGCAGACAAATAAAAATACTGCACACCATCTTCAAGAGTATCGCGGGCCCTCTTAAAGCCCAATCATGAAGCCTCATCTAAGACAATACGAAAATACTAAAAGGATAGAGAATGGTGACAAAGGGAATATAGACAGTAATGGTTAGCAGAAACAAAAGATTTGGAATGTCAAGGTGTAAAATTTACGAGACTTTTGAATACCGTTTTTTTAATTTCTTTCGTTTTTCTCTTGATCATAGTAGATTCTTGGATTACCCACCCTCACAACCAGACACCTGTTTAAGCTTAACCTAAACCAAAATTCCAGAGTCTTGTGAAAGTTCAAAGCTTTTTCTATGACTTGTCCTATGGCATCTTTCCTTACATTTCTCTCTGCTTCCAGACACTTGAATCCTCAGAAGCTGCACTCCTTCACCAGTTCATACTGGTGATATGTATATCGACTCCCAACTCAATTTTACTAGAGAAAACTTCTAAGATTTGGTGAGGAAAGAGAGAGTCATGTCACAAAGTGTGGCATTCTGCCATTCGCTGGCTCCACTACCACATCTCTTTATGTTTCTTGTTCCCTTTCTCTGGTCCTGACAAGTAAGTTCTTCTCCTTAGTATTGCAAAGAATAGTTCCTTCTAAAATCAGGTCTCCTTAGCATTTTACTGTGTACCCTAAAGCATCTTCCAAAATAAATACACTTCCCTTCCTAAAAGGAAAGCTGGTGAATAAAATCTTCTCCAACTTATAATACATATTAACCACAAAAAATTTTAATATTACATTTTAGAGAAGAAAATTTAAAACCATTGGTAGTTGTACCACCCAGACATAACCAAAGTCAATATTTTGGTATGTGTCCTTTTAGTTTTCCCCTCTACGGTCAACAAATTTTAAAAGAATCATCAATTCTGTCCCAATTCCCATTTCAAGATATGAAAATGGAGATGAGAGGTCTCAAGTAACATCTTCTTTGAAACATAGTTTAATGTTTTTTAAAAAGCAAAAGGAAAACTTCCACACCAGTATGTTTTACATACCATCCCTATTACTCACATAAAGGATCACTAGTATCTGTTAAACCCTTTCAACCTCAACGTTCATGTACAGTTAGCACTGTTTCTATACTATAAGCAGTAATGGTAACATACTGACCATCAAGCCCATTTGAGTTATGGGCAACTTTATATTAATTGTCCATCCATGATTATTTAGTTATACTAGACTTTAACATTTTGGTTCCTTTTAAAGGCAGAAAATCTAGTTTCACCATCACCCACAGGCCTAAATAAAGCTTGATCCAGCATTCAGAAAGTTTAAAAAGAAAAAGACACTGAAACAGACACAAAATGGCTCTAAATGAAAATCCTACTGATAGAATAAGTCCCTACATTTTACATGGTAGAAATATTTGCTTAAAAATCTATTTCCAGGGGGGCTGGCCCCGTGGCCGAGTGGTTGAGTTTGCGCGCTCCGCTGCAGGTGGCCCAGTGTTTCGTTGGTTCGAATCCTGGGCGCGGACATGGCACTGCTCGTCAAACCACGCTGAGGCGGCATCCCACATGCCACAAGTAGAAGGACCCACAACGAAGAATATACAACTATGTACTGGGGGGCTTTGGGGAGAAAAAGGAAAAAAATAAAATCTTTCAAAAAAAAAAAAATCTATTTCCAGGGGCCGGCTCCATGGCCTAGTAGTTAAGTTCACACACTCCACTTCAGCAGCCTGGGTTCAGTTCCCAGGTGCAAATCTATACCACTTGTTGGCAGCTGTGCTTGGCGGTAACCCACATACAAAACAGAGGAAGACTGGCACAGATGTTAGCTCAGGGCGAATCTTCCTCAGCAAAAAAATATATATATATATTTCCAAAGTACTTCTACTACTTTTTACAAACTTGTACCAACAGTAGAAGTATGGATACAGGTCAATTTTTCTTTGTAGACCTTTGTTAAGCTATATAAATCCTCAAAAGGTAGCAAAAAGAGATTCTCCTTTAAAGATCCCATCTAGAGTAAAATCTCATAACTATAATGGTCATTTTTAGTATGTTTTCTTATAATTACTGTTTCTAAAGCAAATCAAGTAAATACTCAATTCTTTCCCTCTTTGAAATATTTTTTTAAAGAGAGTGGGGATAAGGACCTTAACCATCTACAGTCTGCTGAAATCCTACCCTTAGTGCACAAAACAAAGATATTATAGAGAAATATTTGGACCTTTATCACTCTACTGTAATTATTTTACTTCAAGGATCTCCTGACCTGAAAAATTAGCTTTTAATCCTCAATGACTCTGCTCATACTAAGTTCTGTCAGGACATTTGCCTATCATTCGAAGCTTTTTATTTTCCATTTTCAAATCTCATGGATTATTAAAAAAGGGGGGGGGAAACTACTTTCTCTTTTCTTACACATGTACTTTACCTATTGTATATGGGCTAGCTCCCATAATAATCAATACAGTAAGCATTATGAAAATTCCTTCTGCTCCCTGATAAGGTTGAACGTTAAAGGTTAAAGTAAAACATATTACTTTCACATTTAAGCAGCATTTTGTTTCAAAAATGCAAGAAGGTTTTCAAGTAAACACACTTCTTTAGTATATTACTAGGAAATTTTTTAAAAAGAGTTTAAAAATATTTTCATTATGACTGAGGAAAAAAAAGAAAGGCATCATAAATTCCATTGTATGTTCAAAATGAGGGAAAAAGTTACTGGAGACAATCTAAACACAAATTTTCATCTCTATTTTCATAAAGTATTAAACTTTTCTGGATTAAAAAAACCCATTTGTATATAAATCTGGTTCTTTAATAAATAAGCCTATGTATATTTATTGGACTCCCAGGTGAAAAAAGAAGCCTAAGACTCTACAGCTGAGTCAAACCTATTTCTGTGGGAGGAAAAGGGTTTGGGGGGAGGGATCAAGAATAGGAAACCAAATCCCTATGCCTTAAAATAAACTTTTTCCATGGGGCCGGCCCTGTGGCTGAGTGGTTAAGTTCTCGAGCTCCACTTCGGCGGCCCAGGGTTTCACCGGTTCAGATCCTGGGCGTAGACGTGACACCGCTCATTCGGCTATGCTGAGGCGGCATCCCACATACCACAACTAGAAGGACCCATAACTAAAATATACAACTATGTACTGGGGGGATTTGGGGAGAAAAAGCGGGAAAAGAAAAAAGAAAGACTGGCAACAGTTGTTAGCTCAGGTGCCAATCTTTAAAATAAAAAAAGAGACTTTAATAATACTCTTACACCATCTCACAGGTTACTATAAAAATTTAGCAGTTAAACATTTGTGAAAATACATTAATCCCAAGAAGATTATCTACATTGTAAATTTTTTATTCTTAATTATTTTAGAATGTGAGTCAATAAAAACTATTCCTGATGCACTATCAATCAGTATAACACAATAATAAAACAATATTTATTACATTTGGAAAAAGTAAAATAATTCTTGGATGGATACTAGCACTCTATGCAGTAAAGTTTTGTCAAATCAAATCATAAAGTAAAATTATGCTAAATTTTGGTATTATTTGCTTTTCAGGACGGTAATTTGAAATCTATTTAATTTTAGCATTAACCTCTAAATCTAACAGTATTTAAGCTGTCTAAGGCTGTAGAAACCTAAGGAAAATTTTTGGTATCAAGTTACAGAATAAAATTTAAAAGGTAGCAAAGAAGAATAACTAAAGCAAATTATTTATAGGCTTGTTAACAGTGTTTAGCAATTAATGGATCTACCAACACTTAAGCTACCTAATTTGATATGCTCTCCTTTGAAAAATATATCTTAATTCTCTTTTACTGCAAAAATTCCCATACGATGGCATTAAAATATAAATGCATTGAAAATCACAGTTTACTATGAAAATCAAATACATAATAAAACTACACACACACACAGCTATAAAGGCCTGCACATTACATTTCTTTTTAGGTTATCTTACTTCATTTGTGCAGCAGCCTTCCCTCCCTCACGTCCCATTGCCTAGTTTGGGTTATATCTGTGGCTAATGCCTACTTTCATTGCCACTTGATTATGGCCAATAACATTTAACCTTTGCAATAAATGGAAAGAAATATATTCACGTTTCCCTGTTATTTTTAAAATATATAATTTTTAAAAGAATTTGCTTTCCACTCAAAGTAATCCTCACCTGTTTGAACATCAATAACCATCTGATGGCCCCCTCTCATTCCTGGTCGGTTATCTTCTCCATCACCTAAAGTAGAAACAATATTTTCTTTTAAAGGACTAACAGAACAACTGCAATCCAGAGTAACTTCATTCATAAGTCTGTAATGAGTAGTAAAAATAACACACACTTATTCTTTCAATATTAAAAATAAGGACTCAAAAGAAATAATATGACTTATAACCATGTTTATGATAATCTTGTTCTTTTTTCCAATTGTTTTCAGGCTCTTAGTACAATTGGAAGCTATCTTCAATGTATTTATGACCAATGCCATAAATCAGTAGACACAGGATATCCACAAAAACCTAAGTCAAAAATCTCCAAACTACTGGAGTGACAAAGTGAAGATGGAAAACAATTACAGAATTAGATCTCAGGTCTGTATTCCAGGCACAGTTTATCTGTATAATGAACAGTTTTAAAGTTCATAAAACTAGATACTAAAAACTAAGATGTTATCGTTTCCTATTAATGATAATTTCCTTACTGTATTAATTTTGTGCCAGTATTTCAGAAATCAGTTCCCACACAATTTACCAACTATTTTATTTGAGTACTAACTGAGAAAATGTAAGATTTGCTTCCATTTGATTCTTATTTCCATCACAGACCTTAACAGGTAGGTTTAAATATAATCAGTGAAACTTTTAAACTTCTGTAGAAGAAAGTATTGTTCAACTTATACCTAATCCACTTTATACCAAATCTTATATAAACGAAGATATAACTTCATTTCAATGGTTCAACAGGTTACAGGATTCTAATGTCTTACTTGATATAAACCAGAAAATCTAAGGTGTTCTTTATAACTCTCCCATCATTTGAAACACAGTCATCCACCATATAATGATGTTTTAGTCAACAACGGACCACATGTATGACAGCAGTCCCATAAGATTAGCACCATACAGCCTAGGAGTGTAGTAGGTTATACCATGTAGGTGCATTCTATGATGTTCACACAATGATGAAATTGCCTAACAACACATTTCTCAGAACATATCCCCGTCATTAAGTGATGCAAGACTGTATATTACCTTGGCTAATAACTTTCCCTGTCTCAGCTTTCTCCTATATAAAATAGAGAATATCCAATTTTTTTACTAATTTCACAGGGGTACTATGAAAAAGACTGAAATGTCAGTTCTTTTATACAGAAAATAAGATGTAAAACTGAAGCTTTTCATTACTACTGTATTCAAGGGCTAATCATTCAGAAGTTCTCTGCAAATTCTTTTTCTAATAGTTAGGTTTATATTTTGCAGCTCATTATCACTGAAGTTTTGCCCTTGTCTTCCTTCTTCCCCTCAGTCAGTATTGCCACTTTCAAGAACTCATATGGGACACAGCAAAAGCTGTATTAAGAGGAAAATTCATCGCAATACAGGCACATCTTAACAAACAAGAAAAATTCCAAATAAGCAATCTTAAACTACACCGAACTGAATTAGAGAAAGAAGAACAAAGAAAGCCCAAAGTCAGCAGAAGGAGAGAAATAATAAAAATCAGAGCAGAAATAAATGCTATTGAAATGAAAAAGGCAGTAGAAAGGACCAATGAAACAAAGAGCTGGTTCTTTGAGAAGATAAATAAAATTGACAAACCCCTAGCCAGACTTACAAAGAAAAAAAGGGAGAAAGCTCAAATAAACAAAATCAGAAATGAAAGAGGAGAAATAACAACAGACTCGGCAGAAATACAATGGATTATAAGAGAATACTACAAAAAACTATATGCCAACAAAATGGATAACCTAGAGGAAATGGATAAGTTCTTGGACTCCTACAATCTCCCAAAGCTCGCTTAAGAAGAAGCAGACAATTTGAACAGACCAACCACAAGGAAAGAGATTGAAACAGCAATCAAAAACATCCGTAAGAATAAAACCCCAGGACCAGATAGCTTTCCTGAGGAATTCTACCAAACTTTCAGAGAGGATTTAATACCTATCCTTTTCAAGCTATTCCAAAAAATTAGGGAGGATGGAACACTTCCTAACACATTCTATGAGGCCAACATCACGCTGATACCAAAGCCTGACAAGGACACCACGAAAAAAGAGAACTACAGGCCAGTATCACTGATGAACATAGATGCGAAAATTCTAAACAAAATTTTGGCAACCAGAATTCAGCAATTCATCAAAAGGATCATATATCATGATCAGGTGGGATTCATACCAGGGGCATAGGGATGGTTCAACATCTGCAAATCAATCAACATGATACACCACATCAACAAACTGAGGAATAAAAACCACATGATCATCTCAATAGATGCAGAGAAGGCATTTGACAAGATCCAACAGCCATTTATGATAAAAACTCTGAACAAAATGGGGATAGAAGGGAACTACCTCAACATAATAAAGGCCATATATGACAAACCCACAGCCAACATCACACTCAATGGGCAAAAACTGAGTGCCATCCCCCTGAAAACAGGAAAGAGACAAGGATGCCCTCTATCACCACTCTTATTTAACATAGTACTGGAGGTCCTGGCCAGAGCAATCAGGCAAGAAAAAGGAATAAAAGGAATCCAAATAGGGAAGGAAGAAGTGAAACTCTTGCTGTTTGCAGACGACATGATCTTATATATAGAAAACCCCAAAGAATCCATCGAAAAACTCTTAGAAGTAATCAACAACTACAGCAAAGTTGCAGGGTATAAAATCAATTTGCGTAGATCAGTAGCATTTCTATATTCTAATAACGAGCTAACAGAAAAAGAACTCAAGAACACGATACCATTCACAATCGCAAGAAAAAGAATAAAATAACTCGGGGTAAATTTAACTAAGGAAGTGAAGGACCTATATAATGAAAATTACAAGGCCTTTCTGAGAGAATTGGATGACGACATAAGGAGATGGAAAGACATTCCATGTACATGGATTGGAAGAATAAACATAGTTAAAATGTCCGGTCTACCTAAAGCAATCTACAGATTCAACGCTATCCCAATCAGAATCCCAATGACATTCTTTACAGAATTAGAACAAAGAATCCTAAAATTCATATGGGGCAACAAAAGACTCCAAATTGCTAAAGCAATCCAGAGAAAAAAAGAATAAAACGGGAGGCATCACAATCCCTGACTTCAAAACATACTACAAAGCTACAGTAATCAAAACAGCATGGGACTGGTACAAAAACAGGTGCACAGATCAATGGAACAGAATTGAAAGCCCAGAAATAAAACCACACATCTATGGACAGCTTATCTTTGACAAAGGAGCTGAGGGCATACAATGGAGAAAAGAAAGTCTTTTCAACAAATGGTGCTGGGAAAACTGGAAAGCCATATGTAAAAGAATGAAAATTGACCATTCTTTTTCACCATTCACCAAAATAAACTCAAAATGGATCAAAGACCTAAAGCCGAGACCTGAAACCATAAGCCTTCTAGAAGAAAATGTAGGCAGTACACTCTTTAACATCAGTATTAAAAGGATCTTTTCGGACACCATGTCTTCTCAGAGAAGGGAAACAACAGAAAGAATAAACAAATGGGACTTCATCAGACTAAAGAGCTTCTTCAAGGCAAATGAAAACTGGATTGAAACAATAAAACAACCCACTAACTGGGAAAAAATATTTGCAAGTCATATATCTGACAAAGGCTTAATATCCATAATACATAAAGAACTCTCACAACTCAACAACAAAAAATCAAACAACTTGATCAAAAAATGGGCTGGAGACATGAACAGACATTTCTCCAAAGAAGATATACGGATGGCCAACAGGCACACGAAAAGATGTTCATCATCGCTGATCATCAGGGAAAGCAAATCAAAACTACATTAAGATATCACCTTACACCCATTAGAATGACAAAAATAACTAAAACTAATAGTAACAAATGTTGGAGAGGTTGTGGAGAAAAAGGAACCCTCATACACTGCTGGTGGGAATGCAAACTTGTGCAGCCACTATGGAAAACAGTATGGAGATTCCTCAAAAAATTAAAAATAGAACTACCATACAACCCAGCTATTCCACTACTGGGTATCTATCCAAAGAGCTTGAAGTCAGCAATCCCAAAAGTCCTATGCACCCCAATGTTCATTGCAGCATTATTTACAACAGCCAAGACATGGAAGCAACCTAAGTGCCCATCAACAGATGAATGGATAAAGAAGGTGTGGTATATATATACAATGGAATACTACTTAGCTGTAAAACAGAACAAAATCATTCCATTTGAAATAACATGGATGGACCTTGAGGGAATTATCTTAAGTGAAATAAGCCAGTTAGAGAAGGATAATCTCCGTATGACTCCACTCATATGAGGAATTTAAAAATGTGGATAAAGAGAACAGATTAGTGGCTACCAGGGGAAAGGGGGGGGTGGGGAGTAGGCACAAAGGGTGAAGTGGTGTACCTACAACATGACTGACAAATATTAATGTACAACTGAAATTTCACAAGATTGTAACCTATCATTAACTCAATAAAAAAATAAAAATAAAAACAAAAAAATACTAAAATCAATTACTGTCAGTATGTTTGCATTTTATATATTTAATCCATTAGTTTTCAAATACAGTTACAGCCTTTTAGCTACAACATGTTTTCTTTTTAAGAAAATCACCTCATATATGACTGATAAAATAGGAGAATGATGATCATATAATGCAGAAATTAGGGAGGTTTATAGCAATTTTCTCCAGTATATTACTGTTTAACACCATCAGGGGATAGCTTTTTCACAATTAAAGAGAAGACCTTAGCAACACATGAAGACCATGGGAAAAAGCTGAACATCCAGAGAACTGCCCTCCTTTAACACAAGTAGTTGCATTAAAAAACTGCTACACTTTCCACTATGTTAACCATCTGGCAAAGCAGTGAGTACGGACGAAGAAGTGACAAAAACCTCCCCCATATGAAAAAAATGGATTAATGAAGAAGACTACATCCTGGATCAGATTTTAAGCTTTGATAAAAATAGTCTTTATTAGAGACATATGCCCTCTGGGGTTTATAGCTCAAAGAAGGAAGTATGAGCCCCAGGGTTTAAGGTTCCAATCTCAGTGTGATGCTCAATATAAATGCCTGTAAAGATTTAACTATACTAGTATTTATTTTTATTAGGATTACTAGACTAGTTTTTATTAGTATCTGGTTATAAAGTTCCATAGATTTAGAATGGTATACCCCATTTCTACTTTTCTCATAAACCCTGTGAGTTTTAGTGAGCAATTTTGCAGAACTTAAGGTTTTTTAGGAACACATGTTTGGCATTACAACACAATAGGCTAAAATTTTACAGTGTCTCTATAAAAGCACTTTATAATGGTATTCTTTGTATGATGGTATTCTGTTACAGCAGTAAAACAAAAGGTTAAAGGGAAAACATGACTACCTCTGCCATCTAGTTAAGGAACCTATGTCTTGTTTTAAACACCTGCTTTTCATTAACAAGAGTACTATGAAACTTGACCTACCTTGGGAAAAATGAAACTGAGACATGAAAGCAAAAGTACCCACCACCTAGAAGGCAGAGCTTACCTTTGGTGCTTTTGGGAATGATTTGACTCCATCGTGGCTTATATTCCTGTTGACTGATATACTGATTGAACAAGCCATCTGCAAATAAAGAATGAGAGAGAATTACATCTTAACCAGCTTACATTTTTTGTTATAGTAAAAAACACAAAAATGTAGAAGCCTACATTAAGGGAAATTACCAATAATGTCATTGACACAATAGCACATTTTCATAAACTATGTGTCACTTCAGTTTTCAAGCTACCTCTGATTTAACTCTGAAAACAACCTTATGAACCAGGCATTGTCATTTTCATATTTTGGATGGGGAAATGCGTATTTAGAGAAATTAAGGAACTTAACCAAAATCCCACAGTTCTTCTTCAGTGGTGGGCCTGGGACTCATGTTTCACTATGCTTTACTTACTTCTCAATCTGTTTCATTAACAAATTCTTAATCTATTTAAGAGGTGGTGTTACACTAGTTACTATAATGGTCATGGAGATTGAACTCCCCACACACATCCATTCTACCCCAAATACTTATCAAGCCCTAATCCCATGGCTCTCAACAAAGATGTGTTTAAGAATGGTATGGAACCCAATTCTGGCTAATGAAACATGAGGATCTTCTGGGGGGACTTCCAGGAAATGTTTCCTTACTTCTAAACAGACATACAGAGAAGGAAAATCTACTTTTATTCCTCTGGAAATTTTCATATCTGTCTGCAATGTACACAACTGTTACAGCCAATTTGTAGAGGTATGAGAATGAAGTCAATTCTATAATGATGAGACAACAAAGAGCGATAAAGTACATTACTGAATCGACCAACCATGAAATCTACCTTACCTCTGGATTTCTTGTTATGTGATATAGTTCCTTACTTTTTAAACTAGGGTTTTCTTTTACATGAGCCCCAATAGATTATAATTTATAAAGTTGCCTTTACTGTAAATTCTGTCATTTGACTCTGAGTTCAATCTGAATAAAGGTTTTCCCTTTTGCTTCCTTTAGTCACTAAACGCAAATACTTCTCCAAAAAATTTATAAGTAAAACTGTCTGTTCTCCATGACTTGTATGCTCACCAGAGACTGTAATTTACAGAAATCTCCCTAATGTCCTTCTTTTCTGGGTAATTACAAAGCTCAACTGTAACCACACCCTTCAGCTTTCAGGTCTTTTGAGATGGTTTTAAGTGGAAATTCCCATCCCATACAGTCATCTAGTTTCTTTTTCTTTGTCTTCGAAACTTCAAAATTCCTGCAAAAAAAAGTTCTAATATTCATTTCTCCTTTTTAAAGTAGCACTCATAAATGAGCGTTTATATTTTAACTGTTAAAGTAAGGGGAACTAGTAGATTCACAGCTTATCTTAGAGAGAGTGTTTCTATCACATAATCTACTCCCCAATGGGCTTTCCTGACAATTCTTGCCCCATCCAGCCTATTCTGATCAATACTCTTCTCCCATTACAAGAGTTGGAAATGCATTTTTTCAGATAGACTGTTGCAGGGCTCCTATTAATAGTAATGATAAGATGATAGTAAAAATACTAATTGTAAATTTAGAATTACACAGAAATGATATAGTAATTAAAGTTTATTCAGTTTTGAGAAAGACACAAAAGTTAAATAATCCTCTTTAAAAAATCTTAAATAGAGAAGATAAAACTATTCAATAAAGACAAGATTTTAAAATATATATTAATTCTACATAATGGCTAACTGAAGAGGAGAGAGAAAGAAAAAGTAAAGATGGGAATATGTAGAGATGAGTAGAAAACTGAGAGAGAAGGAAACTGCAGACATGACAAATACACAGCAAAAAGAGAAAATTAGGAAAGTAACATATTTCACATTTTTTTATAGTAACCAACTGCCACATTACCTAAGTCTCCCATACTAATTAGCTACACGACTTTTGATAAGTAAGTTCCTTATCTGTAAAACATGTTTAAGAGTTGGGCAGAGCCTAAGGTTCCTTTCAAATTCTGGCATACTAGGATTCCACCACTGTTAGAACCAAAATGTTTACTGGAACTATGTGTGTCTGGCTAATTCCACTTTATGTTCATCCTAGAAAAGTCTCCAACTTCTTTTTCCTCTTAAGTTGTCTGTGACTATTCTCAAAGAGAAACCACAACCCACTGTGGAGAAATTTTTCAAAGACCTCCTAAGGTAGTGATCATAGCCACAGTTCTAATCAGATGAAAGACTCCTTCCCAGATCTTTAAAGTCACTCTAAACGTTGCAGGTAAAATTAAAGTCTCTAATTGCTTCTTCAACCAATCCTTCTATCCCCACTATTAGTAACCTGAAAAGCTTATAAATACTCTACTGATCAAGATCTTCATACTATTTCTCTTCTATCAAACACAAGTGGCTTAAGAAAATATTGTCAGTAATTTTCAAAGTTAAAAAAGCAAACTCTCAAATGTGATGCAATTCTTGTAAAATAATTTTGTAAATACACACACAGATGGAAAAAATATAAGTGACATACATCAAAAAGTAAAAAGTGATTTTCTTCGGTTGGCAGGATTGGGATGATTTTGGTTTTTGATTTGGGTTTTTTTTCCTTTGTACTTTTCTGTTTTCCCAATTATCTGCATTGAGCATTACCAGAAGAAAAGCTATAAAACAACCAAATATGTGGAACTATTTTCTAAACTTGGGAAGAACTTTGTAACATATTGTTACCACCAATATAAGCCACTTTCACACACTTTGCTACCCTGAAATCTCTTCTTTGCAGCTCACTAGACACAGCCACTTTTCTATAAGCAGTACTTTGTACACTGACATCAGCTTGTTTTAACAAGGACAGGGAGCCAAACGTGCCCAAAGGGTTTATAATCATGCTTGCAGAGGATATTACTTCCAAAATTTAAAATATTAAGTACTCCAGGGGCCAGCCGAGTGGCCAAGTGGTTAAGTTTGGGCACTCTGCTTTGGCAGCCCAGGGTTTCACTGGGTGTGGACATGGCACCATTCATCAAGCCATGGTGAGGCGGCAGCCCACATGCCACAACTAGAAGGACCCGCAACTAAAACTACACAACAATGTACCGGGGGCTTTGGGAAGTAAAAGGAAAAGAAAATAAAATCTTTAAAAAAATATTAAGTACTCCAAACTTAAAATATTAAGAAATTATGATGATCTTACATTAGATAGAAAAAACTAATCTTCTCCTGAGTAATGACAGTTAAGAGCATAACATCAGATATTCAGTATATAATAAATGCACAGAATAGAAAAAAAGCATGGGGTGGGGGACTCTCCTAGTCACATGGTTGGCATTTCTTTTGAGTCATCTTAATGTGACTAAGTTCTTTCCATTAAAACAAACTGCTCATAAAACTCCTAGTTCCAATAAAGCAGATTCCTAGTACCTAATGGTACCCTGACAAGTTACACTATCTTACAGAGTAGTGAAATAAACATTTTAAAAAAATTGGTCTGGAAACTTTTTAATTTGCCTCTTTCTCTCTCTAATAAACTCCTTTTCTCTTCACTAGTCTAAAGGTCACACAACTCTCTTTGGTATCTCTTACTCTTCGGTGGAGATCATTAGAAAACCTGAAGAAAATTATTTAGATACAGCATTATCAAATCTGGAAGTAACGTTTTAAAAAGATCTTACCAAAGAAAAAAGAATTGACTTTTATTGTGTACTTACTGTGTGCAGGACACCACAAAGGGTAACTCATTTACTCCTTAAAATAAACCTATGCAATGGTCATTATTAATTAGGAAATCAAGGTTCAGAGAAGTTAAATAACATGCCCAAAGACTCTAAACAAAAGGTATAAAAGCCCAATTCCAAAGTTCAACATCCTTTCAATTCTTCATAGACTGCATGTAAATACAGATACACACATAAAAAAGAATAATACACTTATAATAGACTAGTTTTTAAATTAAAATCTAAGATAAAATACTATAATAATAGACATGGCAAAATTTACCTATTCAATAACACTTGAGAAAAAGCAAGACTTTGCGAAACAAAACTCACCATACCAGCTCATTCTACTATAATATTAAACAAATCTAATATAATAAAAGAGGAATAAAACTAAAGAGTTGAAATATATCATTTATAATTTAAATGAAAAAATGTAATCCTTCTCTTAAATAAAGACCTACTGGCTACCGTGGCTAAAATTTAGTTAAGTTTTATTTCTTGCCTGGAACATTGGTTTGCCACTACTCCAGATCACTTACTTACCACAGGCATTCCTAGCAGCTGGAAGTTGTACCATATAAGCAATGGCTAGTTTGAGAAGCTAGCTGCTCTACCAAAAAACAAAACCAAAACAAAACATCTGTTCTTTTGGAGAAATCATAGCTTAATAGAAGACACAAAAGCTAGAAATATAAATTCCAGCCCTCTCACAACCCTGTAACACGTTAACTATCCAATTCTATTATTAACTTCTTGACTTCTTTCATTTTATAATATTAAACATCTAACCACTCCAAACAAAAAATATTATAACTTAAGAAAAACTAGGTTGTGCTTTGCAGAGAAACATGATAAATTAAAGACTACCCTCATTTAATCTATTCTAATACATATCATCACCTCTTGCCAGAGAAACTGGGTTATCAATAAATAGTCCAGATCAGACTAGAGGTTACACTTAGTAGCTTTTCAACGAAATAACATGCTTTAGAATCTTCTTTTATGCCTTGCAAAAGAAAAGTAGGGGCCAGCCCAGCGTTCACCAGTGGAGATCCCAAGTGCAGACCTACACACTGCTCACCAAGTCATGCTGTGGAGGCGTCCCACATACAAAAGAGAGGAAGACTGGCAACAGATGTTAGCTCAGGGCCAACCTTCCTCACCAAAAAAAGAAAAAAAAGAAAGAAAGAAAGAAGGAAAGAAAGAAAAGTAGTAATAAAAATGTTTATTAGGGGCTTCGTAAACAGTAAGTTCTGTTTCAAGTCTGTTAACAGACACATTAAGGAAGTTTACTTTTTAAGAGAACAAGTTTAAGTTCTAGGAATCAGTCATAAGTCTGAAATCTTTGAAGCAATCAATAAAAACGACGCAAATATTAAAGCAGGGTAAAGATATTTCCAAAATACA